TTATCGGTCATGGAAACAAAACTAAGTTATGTATTTCGGTATAATAAAAAAGGAGCGACAAAAGATAATTATTTGCAGGCACTAATCAAATATGTAATGTTATATTAGAAATATATAAATAAGTATCATTTTAAGAACGAATTAACATAATAATAAAGGAAACTGAATAGTATTGTAATTCGTACAGTTATGGATTGAAAGTAGATATGAAAAATTACTTACTACTACGTTTCCGTTTTCCACCTTGTTCATCCGTTTGCTTGTCAGAATTTCTGGAATGATTTGATGTCTCACATAATGAAATATCTACAATAAACAGTAGTTATTAAAACATTTACAAAATTACAATATCATAATATCGTAATGCTCTTATTTTGTTATTATATCATTACAATATTAAAATAATATACAAAAGGAATACTTAGTATAAAATAAATAAGCACCAAAAAAACAAAACCAATTAATAATAATAAATAAACAGTGAAATAATTAATAATGAAAACAATAATGTAAATATAATGTAAATAATGTAAATCTTAATAATATAAACAATGTAGATATTAATGTTATAAATTCTACGTCTTACATAATTTAAGCAAATAACATTACTTATTTCGCCAGTATTATTGTTGTTAACGTCAATTATGTTATCTTCTATTTCAGAATCACTGTCCGATATCGATTCATTATTCGTATTTTGTGCATTTCCTTCCGATACTGCTTCTAAATAGCGGGAGATTTTCAGTATATCTCTGCTTGCTATTGGTTGCCTATAATGATCTCTATGTATTTTATCAGCATGACCCATAAATGTGGCAAGATCCGAAACATCAGTATCATTCAGATTAAATTGAATGCAGTGTGTTGCTATATGTTTTCTTAATGTTGTACCGCGCAAAGTAGTTGATTGACTTGCGTTACATTGTTGGGCAAATTTACGCATTAAAACACAGGCCCTCAGGTATCGGTGTCTATTTTTGTCGACAGCAGGTAGTCCAAAAATATAAGGGTTTTTCTTTAATACATTAGCCTCTTCACGATATTTTAAGATTAAAGTGATACAATCAAAGAGCTCATTCGGTAATAAAACAGGCACTGTGCGTCCTAGTTTTCCTCTGATGCAAAATCGGACATATTTCTCTGCAATTTTTCTATCTTCCATTGACAATGATTTATAAATATCACTGTACATATTTTTATTTACTTTTTCATAATTTTCAAAATCTTCTATTAATGCTCGCTCAATTTCTCCTGCTCGTCGTCTATTAAAGACATGTGTTGAAGTTAATGTTACTTCTGCTAAAGAAATCCACTTCTCATATGAAAAGGACTCATTTAATGCTGTATATGCTTCAGTTCTTATTTTCGCCAAATGTGTGTGTAATTTTTTAATATCTTCCAATGACGGGAGATTTATTTTCTTGTGCCTTTTATGTGCAGACTGCGTTTCGAGAACTGTTTTGTTGACACTCGTACCTATATCCACAACTAACAGTTTTAAAAAGTCTTTAACTAATTTTTTCTTCTCTTCATCTTGAGTCTTGATGCATTCCATAATGAAAAGATTTCCTATATGCTTAATAAGTGTTGACAAGTTAGCCGCTACTGCAGGAGTTTTATAAAGTTGTTCTTCATTGTCATATCCTGCAACTACATTAATTGCTGAAATACAATCGTCATATATTTGTGGATGATACAGCGACTGAAAATCTTTTACATTCGTATTTATATCTTTTAATGCTATAAGAAAACGACCTAGTAGACGTAATCGTGCACGAATCATATCATGCTGATGTTGGGATTTGTATTTAACACACAACTTATTTGCATATATGATCAATAATTTGTCATATCTCACAATACGTGTTACTTCATCATCTCGCATAACAGGAAACACTGTTTTTCTTAAACACTCACGCTATTGAATGTATTCTACCAGTGATTTTTCTTCCCATAATCATAATATTTTTATTTTTTCGAAAATCTTTTTTAAGACAAACTCGAGCATGATGACGTATTGTGTTTTTTGCGAAAAATCCTTTACATTTTACACAGGCAACAAAATCTTTAGCAGTCTTATTAGTTTTCTCATTTGGACGTCTGCATACAATTAATTGACCAGTATTAAATTTTGGGTTGGTGTTAAATTTAAAATTACCCATTTTTCGAATAGTATCTATTATTTTTTTCCTTTCTGGGTTTCTTTTAGGCAGAATGGCAAATTTTTTTACATTAGGCTCATTAGCATGTACTGTTTCCAAATGTCGTGCAAGCTGTGATTGCAACTTCATACAAAAAGCGCAATAATTTTGTTTCGATTTTATATTAGACTTTTGAACATACATAACTTCATCGTTACATGCTGATGTACCAACAACATTTGTATTTGATGTATCAAAACTGGAAGTGGATGAAATAGTTCTGTTAACAATTGACACTTGCTTTTGAAGAGATTCGTTATTTAAAGAACTGTGTTCTGAAGGTATATATTCTGAATCTTCATCATCACTTTCATTCTTATCATTATCTAGTATAAAAAAAACAAAGAAATTATATAACTATGAACGAAGGACATAACTCACATATCATTGAAAAACTAAAGCACACAATATTTGCATGTCAATGTATATATTACCAAAAGACAAAAAATAATGTTTGAAGTAGGTAATAGAGATAATAAAATTTATTTATTTTAATTTTAATTCAAATATAGAATTAATAAATCAAGAAAAGTAGGCCAAAACTACGAGCCAAAGTAATTTAGATGTAAAAAAAATTAAACATAATTTATTTATAATAAAAAGTATACGTTTTGATTTTACTAGGTCTTTCTCAAAACAAAAGGTAGTTTGTTCAAATATAGAGCACAATATTGCACGAATTACATTACTTAAATTTATAATTAGTCTTGCAAAAGTATATATTTATAATTAGTCATTATAATTAGAATCTCTAAAAGTTTATATAAAATTAATGAAACAAAATTATTGCCGCTTTTTGCATGAAGTTGCAATCGCAGCTTGTACATTATATGAAAATAATAACGAACTTGATGTAAAACAGTAGCAACTCAATGTTATAAGAATTATATCCATTAATATATATAATATTATATATGTACGTATATATCAATTATATACATAATATTGTGAAATTTGTTAATTAAAAATGTACGTCAAAAATTATTTATAAAGAAAAAAAAACATAACTACATACTATAAGACACTGGCGCAGCAACAATTTCTGGATCTGGCACATCATCTCGGCAAGGAGATAACATGCTTACACGTCTTGCATCAGTTTCTGTATGATTTATTGAAGATATAAAAAGAGATAAGTGTAAATAACATAAAATAATCCATGTTTACAAGATTATACTTTAAACAAATCTTAAAATGTCAGTTTATAAATACTTCATAAAACTTTATCAAATTGTATTACTGTGTTATATTTATTTTTGTTTTATGTCTAAAATTTTATCATTTCTTATGTATATTTGAAACTATAAACCTGTTTTTTTTTTAAATTTATATAAGTATAGATACAATCTTTTATCTCTAAACAAATATAAATATACACAAACATTATTAATATTAATATTAATAATAATATTAATATTGTTTAATAATATTAATAGTTATAATATTGTTTGTTTATGTCTGGGCAAAAAAACGGCGTTATTTAGTTAAAAGGCAACAAAGTGAAGTATTGTTTCGGAAGATCTGAATAGCTTGGTTATAAAAGCAGTCGCTTGGAAAGCGAAAGACTCGGGTTCGATTCCCAATTCAACCAACTTTCAGACCGATATTTTTCTCGTCTACAGCTTTACAGAGGGGTTAATGGAAAACATGAGAATTAGAGATCTAAATCAAAGATACTATTCCCAATTAGCAGAACAATTAATTTTCGCAATAACCGACGCAAAAGACATCGTATTAGGCTCCTGCAGCTGATATATTTATAATATTATATATAAACATTAATGTTTATATTTTAATTTAAGTGGTTGTCTATTACTTTCATGATATGCTTATATATATATATAATAGGTTTATATATAAATTTTATTGCATTTATTTTTATTTTTTTATAATTTGTGTTATTTATAATTTTGTTTATGAGTCTTATTACTTTCATGTTATATAAAAATTCAATTTTTACATTACCAGTCATATTGAAACTTAATCTCCTAACACACTCATTGATTCTAATAGATCCATTAAATGAATCTGCAAACAAAACATGAGATTAGATAAACAGGGACAAATACGTTCATTCACAGTGCAATAAAAAATTGCATATTATTTATAGTATAAAATATGAAACTTAATATTTGAAATTTAATTTAACAGTATTGCATACCAGATAAAGAAATATTTGCCTCTGCTGCTTCAATATTATCATTCATGAAAAAGTTACTTGGCATGACAGTTTCAATGCTCTCATTTTCATCTGTAAAGATTATTGTGCCAATATCTGAAACAATATATATAAGAAAAAATATTTCATACAGATAATAAAATAGTGCTTAGAAATATAACTGATAACATTATCTAAACTAACCAAATTTACTGGGAGATCTGTAATCTCTTGATAATCACAGTTGTCAATAATTACGGGAATTTCATCTTCTTTTATGTCATATCCTTTATTCTTCGCATTTAAAAGCGTCGGTTTATGGTGACAATCTAAAATAATGAAAAAGTATTATAATCTAACACATAGAATACCATATATGCTGCATTGTGTCATTGCTGGAAAGAACCCAATGTGTATTTGACAATTTAAAAAAAAACAAAATTAAATAAAAGAATGTATTATTATTTATATGTATTTTATTATTATATTAAAAGATATTAAGTATACAAATAATTAAAGATAAAGATATTTGTCAGTTTCTAAATAATTGCAAATATGCACATTTACCAGCATTTGATGTAACATTGATTATCTTCTCATTACAATCTTTGTTTGACACAGATTCAATATTTTTATCCCTTTCATCCATAGACATTATCATGTCAGATGCACCAATATTTAATGAAACATCATATTTTTAGTAATAGACTCTTTGTTTAGTATCACAGACTCATTGCCTTTGTTTTTATTTATAAGACTTATCGAATTAATATCTGCAAGAGAAGAAATACATGATTATGTGACATACATGCGATAAAATAAGCATTACAAACATCATCCATATGAGCTAAACCAAATAATTGAGAACGTGCACATTTACCAGTATTTGATGTAGCATCGGTCATCTCCTCATTAGAATCTTTATTTGGTACAGATTCATTATTTTTATCCCTTTCATCCATAGACATTATCATGTCAGATGCACCAATATTTAATGAAACATCAATATTTTTAGTAATAGACTTCTTGTTTAGTATCACAGACTCATTGTCTTTGTTTTTATCTATAAGACTTATTGAATTAATATCTGCGAGAAAGAAATACATGATTATGTGACATACATGCGATAAAATAAGTATTACAAACATCATCCATATGAGCTAAACCAAATAATTGAGAACGTGCACATTTACCAGTATTTGATGTAGCATCGGTCATCTCCTCATTAGAATCTTTATTTGGTACAGATTCATTATTTTTATCCCTTTCATCCATAGACATTATCATGTCAGATGCACCAATATTTAATGAAACATCAATATTTTTAGTAATAGACTCCTTGTTTAGTATCACAGACTCATTGTCTTTGTTTTTATCTATAAGACTTATCGAATTAATATCTGCGAGAGAAGAAATACATGATTATGTGACATACATGCGATAAAATAAGTATTACAAACATCATACATATGAGCTAAACCAAATAATTGGAAATGTGTACATTTACCAGTATTTGATGTAACATCAGTCAACTTCTTATTACAATCTCTGTTTGACACATCTTCATTATATTTATGGTTTTCATCCATAGACATTATCATGTGAGATTCTCCGATATTTAATGAAATATCAATGTTTTTGGTAATACACTCCTTGTTTAGTATCACAGACTCATTGCCTTTGTTTTTATCTATTAGACTTATCGAATTAATATCTGTGAGAGAAGAGATACATGATTATCACATACATATGATAGAATAAGTATTGCAAGTATTATCGATATGAGTTATACTTACCACTAAATTTTGGGAAATCAGTTCTTTTGCGTAATATATGTGGTTTATTTGTTATAATATTTTTTTTAATATCTTGCAATATATATTTATTATCTGTAATGTTAAAGAAATATTTGTTAATAAAATAAGAAATTGAGAATACATTAAAATGTGTTCCCAATTACTTATTTTTTTGTAGATGTATTTTTACATCTATATTTTCATTATATCGTGAATAATCGCATCATTACTGTTTACTATTCAATCTTGGATTTATGTATATATTGTTAATGTAATATAAATGTTAATTACATACAATAATAATAAAAATATAAAATATAGATATGAAATGTATTCTTAACTCACCATTTTTCACTAAAATGATTGCTGGGTAGCTTCGTTTATCACTATATGTAGCTTTTGTAACATTTTTTTTAATCGTAATTTGGTTAGATGTGCACACATGATAAATATCATCATAGAACTTTACTAACGTATACATATTTAAATTTATTGTATGTATAATATATTATTTTTATTGTATGTAATTAACATTTATATTACATTATACAATAACATATACGTAAAATTTAATTAGAAAGGCTCGTATAATTTAACAAAATTAAACAAATCATATATAGTAGGCCAACTGAACGAGCAAATAAATAGGTGTAAAAATTTTTATTAATAGTTAAATAATTAAATTAACATTCCGTTACAGAATCGATATAAATTGTAAACGTTTCGACTGCACTACAGTCTTTATCAATACA